TACTACATATATAGGTACTACATGTGGACCTCTCTCAGATTTGTTTATTTCGAGATGATATCTTCATTCTCTAATTTTGGTGAATATTTTTGTCATTTTTGGTAAAAAGTGATATTTTCGACTTCTTGTTAAAAACCGCAAGTCCAATTGCTTTGATACTACATATATAGGTACTACATGTGGACCTCTCTCAGATTTGTTCATTTCGTGATGATATCTTCAATTCTCTAATTTTGGTGAATATTTTTGTCATTTTTGGTAAAAAGTGATATTTTCGACTTCTTGTTAAAAACCGCAAGTCCGATTGCTTTGATATTACATATTTAGGTACTACATGTGGACCTCTCTCAGATTTGTTTATTTTGTGATGATATCTTCAATTCTCTAATTTTGGTGAATATTTTTGTAATTTTTGGTAAAAAGTGATATTTTCGACTTCTTGTTAAAAACCAATAGTTCAATTGCTTTGATATTACATATATAGATACTACATGTAGACCTTTCTCAGATTTGTTCATTTTGTGATGATATCTTCAGTTCTCTAATTTTGGTGAATATTTTTGTCATTTTTGGTAAAAAGTGATATTTTCGACTTCTTGTTGAAAACTGTAAGTCCGATTGCTTTGATATTACATATATAGGTACTACATGTGGACCTCTCTCAGATTTGTTCGTTTTGTGATGATATCTTCAATTCTCTAATTAATTTATTTTGGTGAATATTTTTGTAATTTTTTGGTAAAAAGTGATATTTTCGACTTCTTGTTAAAAACTGTAAGTCTGATTGCTTTGATACTATTCATATTGTTCATTTTCTAATCATGTCTTCAGTTCTTTAATTGAAATGTGCATTGCTAACAGCGGAGCTATCTCAGCCGATAGGCTGCTTGTTTGACTTCTTCATGAAAACTACAAGCCTGAATGCTTTGATACTTGGTGTATATGTACCTTGAGTAGACCTCTCTTAGATTTGTTCTTTTCATGATGATATCTTATATTTTCTAATTTTGATGAATATTTTTGTCATTTTTGGTAAAAAGTGATATTTTCGACTTCTTGTTAAAAAACGCAAGTCTGATTGCTTTGATACTATAAATATAGGTACCTCAAGTAGACGTCTCTCAGATTTGTTCATATTGTTGTGATATATTCAATAATCTAATTTTGAAGAATATTTTTGTCATTTTTGATAAAAAGTGATATTTTCAAATTCTTGTTGAAAACAGAAAGTCTGATTGCTTTGATACAATGTACTATACATATTGTTCATTTTCTTATGACATCTTCTGTTCTTTAATTGAAATGTGCATTGCTAACAGCGGAGCTATCTCAGCCAACAGGCTGCTTGTTGTATACATATTGTGCGTTCAATTTGTAATACTTGTGTCAATATTTTTCATTATATAGGTAGTCAGTAAAGCTTTAAGTGGAGTTGATAATTGTACTGGTCCTCATTTACACATGTTGCAGTCTCTAGGAAACTTGGAGAATTTGCCATTACTACAATTAAAACAAATACAAAGACAACTAAGGACAGATCTTGCTAGGATAGATAAGGTGAGGTCACCTCCAAAAGAAGATTGTTTTAAGTATTGCTGATATGTAACGTGATCAATTGCTATCTGCTTATATGTTTTTTAGGCAGTTTTGATTTTTAGCTCCGCTGTCGACTTTGTCGAGCGGAGCTTATCATATGAGTGATTGTCCGTCGTCGTCGTCGTCCGTCGTCCGTGTCAATGTTTTACTTTTTCGACTTCTTCTTGAAAACTACAAGCCTAAATGCTTTGATACTTGGTGTATATGTACCTTGGGTAGACCTCTCTTAGTTTGTTCATTTCATGTTGATATCTTTAATTCTCTAATTTTGATGAATATTTTTGTCATTTTTGGTAAAAACTGATATTTTCGACTTCTTGTTAAAAACTGCAAGTGCAATTGCTTTGATACTACATCTATAGGTACTACATGTGGACCTCTCTCAGATTTGTTAATTTTGTAATGATATCTTT